ACAACCTCCTCCTTCAGGATCTCTGGAGCACCGGGGCTGCTGAGCTGATACTTCACCATCTTCACACTCTCCATATCATTGGCTTCAATGAGGATCCCATCATGCTGGATCGCCTGGCAAGTGCAGAGAGTCTCTAAAGTCTCCTTCATGGTTCTTTCTTTCAGTTCTATTTCTATGCTGCCTTCAGAAGCACTGAATTTATCCAAGGGCGTGCTCTCGAAGAGCCACGTTGTGCTCTTCACATCTGCACGAGGGATTGCTTCCTGGGCCCCAGCGTTGGCCGTCACCTCCTCTGTGTCCTTAAGCGTGTCCATTGGCTGGGTTTCAAACAACCAGGTGCAGCGTTTCACGTCCCCCTTCTGGCTGTCCTCTCTCTGCACTGTGCTCATGGATGAGCTTCTCTCCGCATCCCCGTACAGGGAATCCACAGGGTGGTTCTCGAAAAGCCAAGTGGATGTCCTCACGTCACCCCGCTGAACGTCACTGACACTGACCATCCTCACGTACTTCTTCTGGCCCACCTGCTGGGACTCAAAGAGCTGCTTGTTGGACTGAACATCTCCCCTCTGCACATCATCTACAGTTCTGGGCACAGACAACTTTCCCACTGAGAAGGAGTCAAGAGGCTCTGTCTCAAACCTCCACCGGGCAGCCTGGACATCTCCTTTCTTGATGTCCTCTTGGGTGACAGCCCTGATCACAAACACCTCTTCTTCCTTCTTGATCTGATCCAGGGGCTTAGTTTCAAACAACCACCGGGCACCTTTCACATCACCTTTCATGATTTCTTCTTTCTTCACTGAGGTGACCTCGTGGTATCCCCCCTCTTTGTCCTGGATAGCATATAAGGGTTGGCTTTCGAAGAGCATCGTGCAGGACTTGACATTTGCTTTGCTCATGGTGTCTTTCTGGATCTTCTGGAGCTCTGTCTCGTCCACTTCGTCATGGATTTGGTCAAGGGAATAAGTCTCAAATACGAACCTTTTGCCTCCAACATCTCCCCCCTTGATATCCTTTTCTGGAGGGATTTCCTGGATGCCCTCAGAGTTGTCCTTCAGGGTATCCATGGGGTAGTTCTCAAAGAGCCATGTGAACTTGTGCACGGATCCGGCTTCGATTGTCCCAGCATCTTTCCGGGATTTTGGTTTGGTGGCTGTATCCAAGGGTTTAGCTTCAAAGAACTCCTTCACTCTGGACACTTCCCCAGACTGTATCTCCACTCGGCTGGAATACCGCATGGTCTTTTTCCTGTCAGCTTCACCGACAGTGCTGCTGCCCAAGGGCTCAGTCTCAAATAGGTGCCGGACAGTTTTGACATCAACTCCCTGTAACTCCTCCTGACTGTACGCCTTACTGACTTGCAGATACTGCTCCTCCTGGCCTTTCAGGGAGTCCAGGGGCTGAGTCTCAAACATCCATGTGTATGACTTCACATCAGCTTGGGGCACGCTGCCGTCCTCCTCCTGCTTCTTTTCAGCCTTCTCGTACAGGGTGTGCATTGGCTGGGTCTCAAAAAGCCACCGGCAGGTCTTCACATCCCCCCTCTGGGAGATTTCACGCTTCACTGAGGGGTGCTCCTCTCCTTCCATGGCTTTGTGATGAATGACATCCATAGGCTGAGTTTCAAAGAGCCACTTGGCTGTTCTGACATCACCAGCCACCATCTCTTGCTTTGTGATCCCCCGTATTATATCCACTTTCTTGATGCTTTCATCAAACTGGTCCAGGGGCCTGGTTTCAAACATCCACTTGTAGTTCTTGACATCCCCGCTGATGATCTGCTCTCTGCTTACAGAGGTGACTTCATGGAAATTGCCAAAGCTATCCTTGATGGCATACAGAGGTGTTGTCTCAAACAGGATTTGGTTGGCTTTGACATTGCCAGCTGGAATCTTCTCCTCCTCTTCTTTGGTGATGGGCTCAGCATCAGCCTGTTTAATGCTGTCTAAAGGGAGAGTCTCAAACAAGGTCTTGAAAGACTTCACATCCCCTTTTACTACCTCTTCCACGCTGGTGGCTGGAATTTCTTCCTCAAATGCCTTGGAGATGCTACCAAGGGGACAGGTCTCGAAGACGTGTTTTCTTTGCTTCACATCTCCCTTCTCCTCTGCTGAAAGCTCTACTTTCTTTAAGCGTCCCACCTCAAAATTGTCTCTCAGTGTTTCCATTGGCTGCGTCTCAAATAGCCAGAGTGTGGATTTCACATCACCTCCAACGACTTGTTCTTTGGCTACAACACTTTCTGAAGCTTCTCCTTTCAGGGAGTCAAGAGTCTGGGTCTCAAAGAGCAATCTCTGCTTAGTGACATCTGCCCCTGTGACAAAATCTGTAGAAGCCTTGAAGTCCTGTTCTTCCACTGTGATTTCTCTGATGGCATCCAGGGGTTGGGTTTCAAATATCCACCTTGCTCCACTGACATCTGGCCTTCCAATTTCTTCCAGCGAAATCCCACGGATTATCTGCACTTTGGAAGTGTCCTTGTTGATGGTGTCCAGGGGCTGAGTCTCAAACAGCCAGCGAGCCGTTCTGACTGCATTGCTCTGAATTTCTTCTCGGCAGACGGACTTGATTTCATGGATAGTCCCAGTTTTGTCTCTGATGGCACAAAGGGGCTCTGTTTGGAAGAGCCTGACAGTCTTCTTAACATCGCCTTTTAGCTCCTGGATTTCTGACTTGAGTTGTAGGATGCTCTTCTCCTCCACTGAGGAGCAGCGTCCTATAGCATCCAAGGACTGTGCTTCAAAGAGCTGTTTGGCCCCTTGCACATCACCTCCCTGGACAGGCTCCTTGAGAACTGCCTCCTGCACCTCAGTTTCATCTGAATACAGTTTGTTTAATGTGTCCAGTGGTTGGGTTTCAAAGAGCCATCGGGCAGTACGAACGTCTCCTCTGGCAAGGTCTGTTTCTGACACCTTGGGTGATGCTGACAGGCTGTATCCATTAATTGACTGGCTTTCAAACCTCAGGGAAGTACTTTTCACATCCCCACCAGGAATGATCTCTTCTTCTGCCAGCTTCTTGGTGGCTTGGTGGTCCCCAATGGAGTCGAGTGCCCAGTTCTCAAAAATCCAGCGCATGGACTGAACCTCTCCTGGGAGAACTTTATCCAGGTTCACAGAGGCCTGTGCATTGGGGTCTTCGGTATTAAGCATTTCTGCCAGGTCCTCAGTCACAGCTTCTTCCAAGTTCTTCCTGAGCTCGGGATGCATGTGTCTGTAGAGCCTCTTTAGCTCGTTCACTTGGCGCTGCTGGTAGAACTTGGAGAAGGCTTGTTTTGGAGGAGGCACAGGGAGTGGGTTGAGATCCTGACTCCCTGGAGCGATGACCTGGACTGAGCTCACGGTGGGAGGGGGAGGCAAGTCGTCTTCCATTTTCTTGGTGGCTGCTTTAGATGATTTCTGAGCTTCTGACATCTTTGGGGAAACAGTTTCAAACGTCAGAACAGTTTCTGTCCCACCAACCCCACGGCCGTTAATGGTGAGAACGGCAAAGGGAAAAGCCAACAAGGGAATTCCGTGCACCTACTAAGCTCCGTACCTTTGGTTCAGTAGCACACAGCACTCCAAAACATCACACCACTGCACACGCTCCAGGCTCGGTGTTAGCTCTGGTTCCACTGCAACGGCTCAAGGCAAGGCCTCTAATCCAGGTGAGGTGGTTAGTCTACAGTCCCCAGGATTCAGTCCAGCTACAGCATAACAGAGGTGCTCGATTTGGGCTGTGCCACCAAGAGAGTGACCACAAGAATGACGTGGAAAAGGCTGTCTTAGAGTAGTGAGCTAAAAGTTAACTTCTCCCTCCTGCTCCCCTGTGTCTGGGGTAGTGTGAGGACCTGCAGGGAGTCTGGGAACACAGGATATGGGTGCAGGAGAAAGTCAAGGAGTTTTCTGTGAAGAGGTCTCAAGAAGTAAATGGGGAGAGGGAACCAAAGTGTCAAACTGAGCTGATGATGTTGGGTAGGGAGGTAGCACGATGAGCTTTTGGTAGCACCATGGGTTGCCTACTGCTCAAGAGGGAGAGCTGGGGAAAGGATGTTCATCTGATTAATGATTTCTTCTGTTGGACTCGTGGGGGTACCCCATGTCACCATTTACACAAGAATAGATGGACAGTTATACAATTAGAGACTTAAATAAAGCTCTTCTGACTTGCAGACTTGTACAGATATGAGACTAACTAAGGTCTACAAACTGCTGGGATCAGCAGGCCAAATTCCTTTAGGAGAAAAAACAAGGCTGAAGGATCAGAGGTTGGGGTAACACCCATAGCTGGGTGCCAGGGAAGTTAGACCTGTTTAAACTCAGTCTGAGCTCAGCTCATATTCACAGCAGCATTGGTACAGAAGTGAACAGAGTGGGCTGTGGATGTCCAGCCCACCTTTGAGCCTCCCTTTCTGCATTTTTTTCTCCTTAGTCTGGGAACCCTGGGCACCAAACACTGAACTGAATACCTGCAACCTGCTCTGCCTGGGCGTTTGTCCACAGGGAAGGTAGCTGAAGCCTTTAACCATTGTCTAAAAGAGACTGTAATCCTGGTGGCTTTCCTTTCAGTAGACAGATCTGCTGACCCTTGGCATGCCTGTGCAGTTACGTCTGTGGAGTTATGCCTGGAATATTATTAGTTGTTGCTCAAAGCAGTGGTGCGCGGTGTTATTTCACTCTGTTACACGCAGATTGTTCTGGCTAAAAATAAGTTTTGAACATTAGTAAAAGAAACCCACACTCAGAATACCGAAAATCAGCATATTCTGCAGCAAGTGTAAAATGCAAATCTTTCGCATGAGCCAACTTACTTTGAACGCACTTTTAAAAATAAGGGTGGTTTGTTTTTTTTTTTTTTTATCTGTGAAGAACTTCTGAACGTGGGGAAGGGCGACTGAGCAGCTGATAGCTATATTCAGTATTAAAGTGCTCCTTGCTGCCTTGTGTGGGTATTTCAATCACACTCACAGGCCACAAATATTTGGTTAGATAACGGTGCTTATCTTAAACATTTCCTACCTTGCTTTTTTTCTGCCTGTGGGGAGAGTGAATGGAGTTGTCCTTCACAGCACTCTGTAAAAGATATGTGGAGAAATGACATTTAACTGCATAGGAAGACACATTATCTGTATATGTATTTTTATGCATTTATGTGTATTAAGGTGCATATCAACTACAGAGACCTGAAAACCGTTACAGGTCAGGTTTTCTTTTTTGGGTCACTGGCAGTTCTGTACAGATGAGAAAAAAAATCTTATTCCAGGTTGATCAAAAATGTACGTTTCCTAAAATCTCAGCCAACAAATAAAACCCAAAACACATTTTTTTTAGAGTTAGAGGAAATCAAAACTAGGAAAGTTTGATTTAGGCTCTATTTTTGTTTATACTTCAACTTTTAAAAACCAAGACTGATCTGTATCTGTAATTGCATTACAAAATGCTTAATTCATTGTTTTGGATCTTTTATTAATTTTATTTTTTTTTAGTCTTCTAACCAGTTGTAATTTTTCAGCTGCAGTCTCCATTCGCTTCTTTTCAACTGGAACTGTTTCAGTCTGGCCTCGTCCAGTAGGGAGTCCCAATAGACACTTGAGAGACTACATCTCTGAACACCATAAAAGGTTGAGAGTAAGGGGGGAACACGAACGTGCCTGCAGCAGTGGTCCAGATGTGAAATCGCATCCCATGTTACTCCTGGATCACCACTGGTACGGGGGAAATGGGGAAAATGTGCCTCATAACCCTGAATTATCCTATGGCCCACTGATCATCTTGGAGTGCGGGATTAAATCCCTGGATTCCAGACTAAGGACTACAAACAGAGGAACACGGGAGGTTGCACTGTACAGTTATGTCTGAGTGTGGTATATATGGACATGTGTATGTGTGTGTGCTGGAATGGGGATAGGATGGAGACGTAGGTCTTGCTCTGGGCTAAATATTTCCTCCATGAATATGTGTAAATACATACAAGCAAATAAAGCAGAAATCTTATATATGAATAAACTGTATGGGCTAGTGGATGTAGATGTGTGTGTGCTTCGTGTGTGTATGTGTGAATTTAATATGTATATAATATGTGGGTTTTTGTACACAGCTTATAAATCCCACACATATCAGCACCTCTGATAGCATTCATCCAGTATTTTCAAGTGACAATTGAAAAAAATGCTCATTTTTGGAAAAACAAACGCTGTGTTTCTGCAGATTTACTTCACCACACATTCTCTCTCACTCTCTTACAACCACTTGCTTGGGCGGGACATTGTTGGGATGCCGCTGGTGATTTGGGAGGGGGAGGATGCTGGTGCTTACCGGCTGTGCGGGGCTGCCGGCGTCAGCAGCAGCGGCAGCTGTCTGGGAGAGATAGAGAGCCGACAGCTCCTTCACGGAGGGCGCAGAGGACCTCCCTCGTCCTTGGTGAAGTATGTGGATAGTGTCGTCTGATGTGTCTAAAAATGACCGTGTCCGATCATCTGAAACAGGGACAGACGTGCGTGGTGAGCCCCGAGCCAAAGACGGGAGGGCAGGGTCAGCCTGGAGCCTGGGCATCGCTCACCACGGGCTCTGCCATCTGCACACCAATCCCCCTGGCAGCCCCTGCCCTGGCCCCCCAAAACTTAACATCATGCCCTTTTGGTTCAGAGAAAAATCACGGACATTTCCACCTTTTTCATGGCTGAAATGGATTTTGAGCCTGGATGAGAGCCACGCGTTTGCAGTGACCTGATGCCACCATCCTGCTGGTGGGGCACAGAGCCCACCCCTGTTCCTGCATCCCTGGACAAGGCCATCACCAAACACGAGTGAGTCAGAGGATGTGAAGGAGCTACATGTGTTTAACTTGAGCCAATTCCCACCACTCTACTATGGATGTGCCTCTCGGGCAGTTATATCCATTTATCTTCACCTTTTCTCTGGGAGCCTGTTTCAGGAAATGGAGAGATGAAGAGGCTACAAGACTTGCCCCAGGATGCAGCAGGGAGCCTTTGGCAGAGCCAGAGGACCAAACCCTGCTCTTAATTTAGAGAACTGATATTTTGAGCTGCACCAGCTCCCATGGGGCCCCCAGTGGAGCCCAGCATGGCATTGCTGAGATACTCAAGATATTCAGCATTCCTACCTTTGTTCAGATGTCTCCCATGGAGATACTACAGCTGAGGTTGTCCCTACTGGGTTCATGGAGAAATGGCCACTCTAGGAGGAGATGAACTATTAACCAGACCTCCTGGGGGCTACACAGAGGAACGGGATGGTTGGAGCAGTCACACACTTCTGGATGATGTCAAGGCCATGGTGCCTCATTCCTACCTATTGTACTCCATCCCCCTTGGTCCTCATCCCCCTAAACAGTGGGGGCTTCCCTTCCCACTGAGGATGAAAGCTGTGTCCATCCCCAGAGAGAGGTTCAGGTCAAAATCAATGGATTTAATGCTGACGGGTTCAGTTTTCACAGAAACCCCAAATTCCAGCTAAGAACTTTCTTTTTGCATTACCCTGCTAGGTAATGCCATCTCCATCTCCCATCAGAGACATATACTGAGCTTTACTCCTACGTGATGCACCTCAGTTCTCCAGGTTAGTCAGGGCTGTAATGTCTCTGTTACCACTGTAAAAACACGAGAAGGTTCTCCCGTTCTCTGCAGGCTTGCACTGCTGCATTCGGATTTAGTGTGGTATTTGCAATGCTTTCTGTTTGAACAATGGGCTCTCTCTCCACAAATCCAGCTATTGCACAGCCAGGAAAGGGCTGATGTACTTTTTAATGTGTGTGCATTAGAAGCACTGCAGCCATTCCAGCATTCTTTGCCCTCAAATGTCGTCCTCAAATCACGAAAATCAGTAAATAACAAACCCAATGACTCTTTTTTTTCTGCATTTTAAGTTCAGGTTTTCAAGTTTGTCTAGTAAATGCTGAAGAAAATTTGCTCTGGTTTTATTTTAAATTGACAACAGCTAATATCATACACTAACAGGATTCCAGGAGCTGGTGCTTCAAATGAAATGCCAGTTCCTGTGGGCACAAACACAAACCAAAAAACCATGAAAACAAGAGCAGAGGGGCCTCAGTGGGTTGTCAGACCCTGACCAGTGTGCTGCTGGAAGGTGCCAAACCCCTAGATTTCTGTTGTCCTTTGTTCCAGCTGCTCCTGCATATGTGCAGGCATTTGGATGATGAACCAAGGCTGGATACATGAGGAAGCAGTGGGATGCAATACACATTTAGCTGCCCAGTTCTGCTGAAGGTCAGCGGAAACAGAAGAAGGTATTTCCTTAATGCCCTTTTTTTTTTTTTTTGCTAAGTCACCATGTAAATATGGCACCTTTTTCCCTGATTTCTGCTGTCCACAGCTTAAACACCAAGTCAAAAGGAACTATCTGTCTACAGCCAGTGGAGACAGTGCAAGGCTGGTGCAGACCTGGTGCATCTTGAGATAGGCTGAGAGGTTGCAACCACCCTCTGGTTTCATCACTTTTCCCCACTTTACTCAAAACACCCCGAATTTTGACTAGATCCTGGATTTTTGAGATGAACAGTATCCTGGAAATCATAGAATCCTAGAATTATTCGGGTTGGAAGGGACCTTAAAGGTCATCTAGTTCTAATCCCACTGCCAGGGGCAGGGATACCACCCACTAGATCAGGTTGCTCTGAGCCCTGTTCAACTTGGCCTTGAACATGTCCAGGGATGGGGCATCCACAACTTCTCTGGGAATCCCGTGCCAGTGTCTTGCTATCCTCACAGTAAAGAGTTTCTTCCTAATATCTAATCTAAATATCTCCTCTTTTAGTTTAAAACTGTTCCCCCTTGTCCTATGGACATCAGGAGGGACCTTGCAGCATTTGCTGAATTGGCTGCAGAAGGCTTTGAGGAGGGCTTTGGAAAATCTTGTCTGGGAATCTCTTTCTTTTCTCTTCCATTGCTCAGTTACCTAGTGGAAAGGCAAAAAGGGGACCAATCAGCCTGGCAAGCAGAAGCTTTCTCCCTTACACAGTGATGAGGTTTGGCTAAGCCTCCCAGTAAGAGCAGTGGGGAGACAGTGAGCCTTGTTAGCTTCAAAGCAGAAAGGCAACCAAGCAGAGATTTGCAGCCTTTCTGGATGGGAAAATGAACACAAATCCGTGGCTCTCTTGAAAACTATCTCTAGGAGATGGGCCATGGCAAGGCAGGGCTCCTGCCTAGGTTGACATAAGTGTTACTGTGCGTAACCACTTCGGTGCAAAGTGCTTAGCAAAAGCATCCCCACGTCCTAGAGCTGGGCTGGTGATCTTTATTGGTCTCCTCCCACCCCAGTCTATAGGTATTACCACTGAGATGATATAATTTGTATTGGCCTATAGGCCTGTAGGTAGAGATACTGCACAAAGAAAAGCAATGTACCCCTCCAGCCAGGAATGAATAGTGCAGCTGAAGGAATATTTCCAGTCCCTGCAGTGGAAAATAGCACAGTGTCAGTGCTGCTGAGTCCTTCATCCGTTAGCTTGGGTGGATGAAAGGCCACAGGGCTTGTTTTAATGACAGATATAATTAGATACAAAGCTTTCGTTGAAGCCATTCCCTTATCGCTGCCTTTGTTTTCTTTTTTTCTTTCCTTCTCTTCTCTCTCTCTCTTTTTTTTTTTTTTTTTTTTTTTTTTTTTTTTTTTTTTTTTTCCAGTGCACAGGCTGTGCACAGCCCTCCGTTTGCTTATCACTTCTCACAAACCCCGCCTGCCTTAGATAGGGGCCGCTCCAACCCGCCGGGCGGGCGGCTGGCTCCGCGCTTCCACAAAGTCTGGTCTCTCCACGCGTCTCTGCCTGACGAAACAGGCTGCTGCCACCCTTCAAATTGCTAATTATAGATAAGAGCCAAAGAATAACAGTTCATTCCGCTAACGAGAAAGCCGAGCTGTCACGTGTGTGTGGATAACGGCATCCAAGCGGCACCGAGGACGCATCCAGAGTTGTGAGCAAGGTGCATCCCCTGGGAGGGATCAGGGAGCTTCCCAGCTGGGGATGCTAAAGCAAAGCCAAAGGTTGTTATGCAGACCAGGCTTAGGGTGTTATTTGTTGAGTATGAGAGGGAAGCCCAGTTTGAACCCTGTGCTGGGCTCCACATTTCTGCCTCGCTGAGCAAAAGAGCTCCGCTGGCACATTCGGCATCCGACCCAGCGCTGAGTGATGCATCCTGCGCGGCGCTGATTGACCAGCAGCCCCAGGGACTTTAAACCAGATACCTCCAGCATTAAAGCATCCCCTGTGAGCTAAAATAGAAGGAAAGAGCTCCTGAAAACCCCCTCCTCCCGTCCCGCCCAGCGGCTGGCACTGCGGCCGACGGCTCTGCTGCCTAAGTGAAGGATACAGGGAATGCTCCTCCCCGCTGGCGTTTGTCGGCAAAATGTCCTTGGTGCCAGTGCCTGGCGCCGGATGAATCTGCACATTTCGTATGAGGGGCTGCAATATTAGGACTGTCCATGGGGAGCAGCTGTCGGGTTTCTTGAGCTCTTCCCATGCCCGACCCATGTGCAGCTCGGGCTCAGTTTACAGCCTCTCTGCCCCATAAGTCGCACCCCGGGAAGGCAAGGAGGGCTGTGGGAACTGGAAACTTGCAACGGGGAAAAATAATTCCTTGTATTCCTTTGTACTCACTGATTTTTCTAGACACAGGGGGAAAAGGCAAGGCAAGGGGGGAAAAAGATTCTTAAATATTCATTTACAAGTTCACTCACTTCCTCTTCAATTATTGCCTTTAAATCACTCAACTGCTCTGTCTCCTACTGAACAGAATATTACAGGTCTCTTGAACCATAATCATGTTACATCTGACAGTCAGCTCCCAACAAGTGGAAAACAAATCACTAACAAAACCTCTCCCCCCTCTGCCCTCCCCTGAGAAAACCCCATCTCACCAGTAACACAGCAGCTCTGTGTCACTCCGCTTCCTATTTAAACCTATTTAGCCTATAAAGAAACAACGCTACCCACCTGTTGGTGTCCACCACCTCTGCTGCTGGCACTCCTTCACAGCTCCCACCACCAACCCCAGTGAGCTACCGAGCGCCTGAGTCACCTATTAAAAAAGGAAGCTGCAAGCTCAGCACCAGTCTCCCGGGTCGCCTGGCCAACCACATGTCATCGGCTTTGCTCCCAAAATCAGCCGCCCTGAGCAAACACAGCTGCTAAGCAAAGCCCTTTGTGTGGCCCTGTGCGCCCCACGGGCAGTGCCTGAGCTGGGGGTTGTGTAACGGGGGCCGAGATCAGCTGGGGGCTCGCACAGGGCTTGCATGAGTCGGGGGGAGAGGGACAGTCCAGTGGGGCAAGTTCTGCCAGGGTCCTGTCCTGCTCCATCACTCGCTGAAGGGAGCAGTGCTGTGAGACCATCTCACCCTGAATCTGGCATCCTCCGTCACCTGCTCTGTGGCTGCCCAACGTTGCTCCTCTGCAGGTCAGTTTTGGGTGTGCCATGTTGGCTGCTGTACCTGGAGTGTCCTGTGC